ATACTTGGGATTGATATTCCTCAGTTTCTCTGCTTGCCTTCCAGTCAAGTATTCCAGAGTTTAGAGGCATTCCTGGCCGTGTCCCAGTTTCCTGGGCAAGTGCCTTGTCACCCCTTAATGGTAATGCTCTTTGGTGCATGTCTCACATGCTAAATATTACCATGGCAGCAAAGCCAAGTAGAAAAACCTCCCAGTACCAGACTATCAAGCAGTGTGGTTTGTGCATCATCCTTTAAAGTAGAATTTTTCTTTTAATTGAAATCTTACATGGGGCAGTATGATAACACTTTGGATTACACTATTGGAATATTTAGCAGAAGGAAACGATTTTTCACAAAACCTGACTCAATCTGAGTAATCATAAAAACCAGCATTATAGCAGTTAATGTGTTCTGTCCCTCCTCTGCCCTCTCCCAAGAGAAGTAGGAGTTGGTGTTTTAATTGAAAAAAATGTAAAACCTGGTATTTCAGGAGAGCATAATCTAGATATTTATGTTTGGAGTATCTTGTTTTTCCTTATTTGTGAGAGGCAGATTATCCTGTGTCTGAGTACTGTCTGAAAGGATTGGCTGCCCATGGAGATGGGTCACTGACCTTGATGGAAAGCTGTGCCTCATCTGTTGTGGCAGCTCTTGCATTCCTGTGCACAGTTGAGAACATAAAATTCAATTTTACATCCCTTAGTACTTTGTTCAACTGCTGCTTGTTTCTCAGGGTAGCATTAGGAAACTGACATTTTATTTTGCTGGGTGTAAGTGGCTGTGTCCATTCCAGAAATCTGCTAGAGCTGGATTTGACAATACTGCATCTGAAAAAATGTATATGAGCACTTGTCATTATTATCAGACCGAGAAAGGCTCTGGTGTTTTCATTTATACAGCTTCTTAAAAAAATAATTTTGACTCCATATGAAGTAGCATTATTAGTAAGGAATATCTTTTAACAAATTTTCAATTTTTAATGTGAAAGTGTTGTCATCTCCTGGTTATTGTTGTGTATGTATGACTTTGTAATGTGATAGTGCCTAGGGAAGGGCTGGATCCTCTTGTGAGATGGACTTAACAAACTCTCTGAGCAAGTTTGGATTGTAAAGACCACAAGCTGAGACACTTGGGAATAATGTGGAAATGATGCTAACTAGTGTGGGAGACAGCAGCATGAGCACACCACGGAGGGTTTTATGGCAGGATTTGAAGAGAGTAATGAGGAAATTTTGACGAGTGTTACCGTATATTCTTCTTAAATTGCTGAGGCGTTCCTCTCTCAAGAGGCAGCGCTGTGGTGGAGGAAATAAAGACTCAAAACTGAAGCTAAGGAGCTTTATTTGCTGCATTACAGATTGGAGGGAGAGAGAGAGAGAGAGAGAGAATGCAAAGATGAGATGATTGTATCTGAAACAAGTGAGAGAATGGTATTTGTAGTGGCCTTCTAACTACGTGCAGGTGGGTCAGTGCTACACTGCCACTTGTCATTCTTGGTCAGATTCAGTTTCTGCTGTCCAGTAAGATATTTTTAAATTATTACTGGTTTCCAGTTGTCATTATACAATCTTGAGGCAATTTCTTCTGGTTATAAGCTTTGATTTATGCAAGGCTTGAAAAAAGGCCTTTTGAGCCAGCCATATGTCTAACAATGAACTCTTCCCTCTTCTTTGACACCTGAAATCCTAGATAACTTTCTAACATGTTTTTTCTTACTGTTTTCTGTTTAGCCTCCAGTTCCAAGCCTGAACTCAGCTCCAGTTCACAGACTTTGGGAAGTCAGCAGAACAAGACAGATGGCACCCGAGTAAAAACTCGCGTTCTGCCCAACATGCCAAAGCTTTTCATACCTTCATCTGTCACCAAATTTCCACCTGAGATCACTGTCACTCCACCCACTCCCACCCTCCTTTCTCCAAAGGGCAGCATTTCAGAAGAGACCAAGCAAAAATTAAAGGTAATAAAAGGGAAACAGTAATTTTTTTTAGATTATTGTTTTTATCTTAATTCTCCCCTCAATAAAATACTTGTATGAAAGAAGCAGCAGTTCCTAACCAGAGGCAGTGTAAGTAGTGGAAGAAGGTGTGGTACCTGTTACCGGCAGGAGCCAGTTTTTTAAGGATTGGTGAAATATTGGCTGTGGGTGAAATCAGAGCTATTCTAGTCCTTATCCCTTTTCTGAATTGGAAGGATTTACAAAGATGGCTGAGTGAGCCAGTGCAGCCATTGCAATTCTTAGGTTAGTGGAAGCTACCAGAACATTAACTGTGGGGAAGCCCTCTGGTAAATGTCATATTGTTTCACATTAGGATATCATATCTTTCATAGAAGTAAGAGAGCTATTGAATGTGAAGGAATAACAACCAGTGGGCTTTTATCCCTGTGATCATGGGTTTATCCTGACTATTTAGCAATATATTCTCTCTCTCTCTTTTTGGGATCAGTCTGCTATTTTGTCTGCTCAGTCTGCAGCGAATGTAAAGAAGGAGAGCCTTTGTCAGCCAGCTTTGGAAATCTTAGAGACCTCAAGCCAGGAATCCTCACTGGAAAGTGATACTGATGAAGATGATGACTACATGGACATATGAATGAATTCTGGCCATCATCAACACCAACCATATAACCATCTTCTTGTTGCCAGCATCTCTGGGAGTTGAAACATCTTCATTGGCATTACTCTCCATTTAATTGGCATCATTGTGTTCTTCACTTTCATTACCTTTGTTGTCACCACAGCCACTTGTATTGCCTTCAAAATCTTCTCCCCATCATGGTGCTTGACGGAAAGACTGATTGTTTACCAGGAAGTTAATTAACTTGGATCACGCTGTCACCGTTAACTGCAGTAAACACAAGGATGTTTTGTGCTGCAATTCCTATCTCTCTGCTGTTCCTGCTTCTTCAAACCAGAGCTTTGGGAGTCACTCAGTAGCTCTTCTATAGCATTTTCTTCCTTTTAGTTGTCTTGCATTTTTCCCTCTAGCTAAGCTTTTCTCCCAGTAATTCAGCAACCTGATGTCTGTCTAACCATGCCATGATTAGTCCAACAGCTCCTTTTAAGGTGAATGGAGTAGGAAAAATTTACTGAGCTGGTATAATTGCATCAAGAAAGTCTGTGGCTTTGTCATAGGGCAAGGAGGGTGAGCTGAGAGTCTGTCAGCTCCTTCACACTGCTGGGTGTTTTGCTGGAGTTTGACTCTGACAACGGACAAAAGAACCAGCTTTCCCAGGCAGACAGAGAGAGCTTGGTCTCCTGTTTGTGCTCATTTCACACCAATGTATGAGGTCCAGCAAAAATTATCTACCTGAATGTTGGCTTAAAGAACTGATCTTTCCAGAATTGTCTTACAGTCCTTTCTCTTCTAATGCCTTGGACAAGCATTTTGAATTGGGGGCTAGATGATATTTTTATGGTGGTATTGAAAAAAACTTGAAAGATTTCAGTACCATTTCAGTACCATTTCAGTAATGTCTGTTTTTTACAGAATGACACGAAAAGGTGTTTTTTACCTATCTGCAGAGGGACTGCTCACAGTTATTTATATGAGAAAATAATGGTAACAAAGATCCTCTTTTTTTTTTTTTCTACTGAATGTTAACTTTGTAAAATAATGAATGCAAACCATGCAAAAAAAAATACGTCACACACTATATATACACACGCGTGCGCCCACACACACATATATATATGTGTATGTACATATATATATGTATGTATATGAAAACAGAAGTGCATACAGCTTGCAATGTCGGATTTCTTTGTGGTTGGGGGGGTTGGTTTTCTGTAAAATGCAGAGCTTTGTATAAACTTTTGGGGTTTTTTTTCTAATAAAGTTGAAATGTACGGTTGTCTCTTGTTTGTTTGAGAGGGCACAAGGTACCATGGTTCTGGAAAGAGTACTGCTCCTCTTTCCTTTTATTTCTTGGATAGGAAAGAAGGGGTTGGGGGGACATGATGGAAGCCTCTTTGTTTTCTGAAGACTACCAGAGCTCTTGGGGTGGGTTTGGTCTGTGTGACCCAGGACCCAGATAAGCAGTGTTGCCAAGATTGCCTGCAACAGGTTCACTTCCCCATCAAGATATGATGTGAATTCTTTCTCACCCGTCCTGGTATCTTTGAATGCTGATGAACAACACAAGGGGGAAGGCATCACATGGGGAGCAGGATCACATAGAATATTTGGCTGTACAAACTAGCACTTAATGCACTATTACAGTGATTAATCTCCCTGACTGTAGGAATGGCAGATGGACTGCAGATAAAAAGAAGCAGCATCAAACTTTGCATTGCAAGTTTATTCTCATATTCTGGGGTTTTTGTTTTGAACAAAATGTAGTTTATAAGCAAGTGAGCACGTTCATTTTGGATGTATTAGCAACTGTTTGTGTAACTTGTTCTCTTAATAGGTGAGGTGAATGCAGTTGATGTGGAAAAGGTGAGGCAGCTGAATGGTAAAAGCAAATGTATTTTCAGTAGTAATATATTTTCAGTGTTTGCTCTTTAATTTGCAGTGTACAGAATACTGTGCAGTCATTGACTGGTAAAAGGCTGAGGGAGCTTTAGATAATCAAGTACGATCTTCAGGTTTTTTAAAAGAAAGCATAGGAAAATGTAAGTCAGCTTCTTATGAGAAATGGAAAACAACCATAAGGATATAGTTCTGAATAGGGATTTTTCAAATGGAACAGACTACACAGACTTTTTGGCTAGTGTATATTCTTAAATGTATTGCTAACTTAAAGATCACATTTAAATTCTTAGGTCCACACTTTAGCATGGTTTGATGTATAAAGCATTTCATTGTCTTAATTGAATCCATTGCTGAAATTGCCAAGGATTCCTTGGCATTAAACTTTTTGCCTTTTTTTTTTTTTCTCCAGAGCTTCCTAAAATGCCTGGTCTTGAGTTTTCTTTTGGCTTCTAGTCCTGCTTTTTGAGAAGGATTTAAATTTTTGCTGGTTAAGGAAAGCTAGAACAGTAAGTGTAACTGTTCCTGTCAGCAAAGAGAGCTGAATTTGCTGATCTGCTCTAAACTCATTTTGATGTTCAAACTATGCAGCTGTGCAACTTGTTTTGTCCTGTATTCAACTCTCTTACCTGGTTTTCATTTGTTGTTTTTTTTTTTAATCTATCATTTTTTATTCCCATGATGCTCTTGAGCAGCTCAAGGACTTTTTCTCAAGCTCAAGAAGTTACTGAGAGACTGAACTGCACAGGCCACCTCCTTCCAATCCTGCCCTTCTGCTCCTGACTAAATAAGTGTGTTGCTCAGCTGTGGGCCTTCTTCATCAAGGGGTGTAACTGCTGATGTGCACTGAAGGAGCTCTTCTTCTCTGTGTGTGAAATCATCTCTCTGTAAGTACAGTTTATGTAGTTCATCAGTTCAAGGAGCCGTACTCTGGAATGGAGATGCATCAGTGGATGCGTGGAGACGTGATTTTGTTTGAAGCACCATCCCTAAAGGTGCTTGGAGCAAGAACTTCAAACAGAAATATTCACTTAGTGTGGTATCTTCTGAAGCTCGGCCATAGAATCTTGTGGAATTTTCAGGAAAAAAAGCATTACAGTTAAACTTCAGTTAGCAATTACTTCAAGTAATCTCATTTATTTCAGTCTAATCCTGGTGGTTATAGCTTGAAATCCAAGCCTAGGCAAGATCCAGTTCACCAAATTGCATATCAAATGTAAACACTACATCTGTCTTTGGGATTTACTGGGTAACCATTGTTATACAGTGTTCCCAGGTGTCTTTCTGATGTGCCAGGCAAGTAAATGGTAGCTACTGAAGTACATTGCTATGGTATGTTTTTGATTTGGTTTTTCCCTGTGAAGCCATAGGGACAAGAATGTCTGGTGTCTAAAGTAAACATAAAGGTGAGGCTTTTACTTCCTTCTTTTTTTTTTTTTTTCTCCTGACAGTAATTGATTAAAAACCAAATCCTTTTTGGCTACTGAAAAGCCACACTGTTAAGACTTTCAGGCAAACAGCAAAACCATTTTTGTTCCAAGGCAAATGGAAAAAGAAATGATTTTGAATCAGATGTTGAGAGGAATTTGTGGAGAGTTAATATACTTTCTGTACTGTTGCTGGGCATTGTTTTTGCATGCAGTAAGCTGTCTTGCACTGTTAAGGTGAAAGTACTGTTAATGTACATAGTACTGGGGTTTGGCTGTGTAATGCAATTTTATTTCCTGGCACAGGGTTTATATAATCTATGTGTAGTTAAGACCATTGAGAATTTATCTCTCTGAGGCAAGGAGGACTAGTGTTTTACTAAGAATTAATTTTGTTGGGCACAGCTGTCATTAGTGGCTTCTGCCCACTGTCTGACAAATGCTGTAGCATTTTCTTCAAAAGCTAATAATGTTTCCTTCCACAACCAAAATAGCAGATCAAGGAAGATACCGAGTATCTCCTTAATTTTATCATGTACTAGGGCTTGGCAGTTGTTGTCTCTTGGTTGTTGGGTTTTTTTCCTCTTAATTAGAGTGAGATTTCCTCATGAATAATGAAATTAATGTCTTTTGCAGCCAAAATAAACACCATATGGTCAGGGAGAAAGGGACCAGGAAAAGAGGAAGGCGCAGCAGCTGAAGCTGATAGGAGACAAAATGGACTGAATGAGGGGCCAGGTGAGAACAAACAAAGTCTTACCATCCAGGGTGGGATCACACCATTGTTAAATTCCCTACCCTGCTTTTGCCAGTGGTGTTGATATTTCAGTGAAGGTGAAACATCTGTGGTGTACTACCCGAGTGTACTGTGTTATACACCAAGCACAGTCTGTTTCTGCTCCTGCAGGTGCTTGTCATACTTTTAGGGGACTGGGTGGGCAGGGTACACGAGTTGAGATGCACACAAAAAAAGCAGCAGACACAGATTTTGTGATCTCTCTCTTAGTCACCTAAAGCTGGGATGAAGAAGCTTTGCTCTTGCAGTTGAGGATGATGGTAAGAAGTTCACTCTAGGCTGAATGTTAATTATTGTTTTTCCCTTCTAGTTGATAACTGGGGATCCACTAATGCTAAATTACAATACTATTCAGGATTTGGGGAGTAGCCTCGGGATACTGCACCACAGGCTGTACCCCAGCCCAGTTATGCCTTTTTGGGACTCTGCTGTCCTTGCAGGGCATGGTGGAACCAGTAGCATTGTGAACCAGCATCTGGGTTTGTTGGCTTCTGGAGGATGACTGAACTTCACTCAAATGGCCCCTTCACATTAATACTTAGAGAATCCCAGGCAAATCTCACCAGGGAATTAAAGACATGTCTCCTTGGATAGACATTTTTATTCCTGCTGCTGTTTATTTAATGGAACTATGAGCATTACACCCATCAGCAAACACTTGTTAGCCAACTCCAGAGCCCCTGTTCCAGTTTCAAAGCTGTCTTTGAGCTCACCCACCTCAGTGCAGCTTTGTGCACGGCATGTGGGCAGTCCTGCTGGCTGTGAGTGCATCTCTACAGCCGAGTGCCCAGAGTTCATCCCGTGTCATTTGGGAGCTACGCTGGCTGCTCCAGTAGCACTAGAGGGGGCCCTAGGACAGAGGAGGGAAGGGAGGGGAAAAAAAGAAGGGAGAGACCAACCCCTCACCTTAAAATGGACGACCAAGATCTACCTTGAAACTTCTGAAAGACTACATTGCATTGCTGGTTTGGACCTCACTCAGTTCTTAGGGCTTTCTGCTACTGTACCATATGTCCTTTGCATAATGTATAGTCTGATTCAAAGCAGAGGGAATGAGAATCCTCATAGGCTGTTTACAGGATTGTGTGTTCCTGGCCATGGCAACCAAAAACAAGAGCTCACTTTGTTACCATTAATATTGACACTTGGCAGGAAAACAGATCCACTCTATACTTGCTTTTCACACAAAATCTGTTTGCCCCATGACTTTGTTTTCCTTTTTCTTTATTTCTCTATAAGAAGCCCACTGGGTGTTTCCATTTTCTTAATGTACAACATATTATAGTGGGGAGAGGGAGCATCTCATGGCAGCCTTGTGTAAAAGGGTTTAAATAACCCGTTGAACTTCAGTGTAAATCCTGGTTAGTTCAGTCCCAGTTCACTGCAGTGGTGTGGGGTTTGTGCTGGTGTAGCTGAGCCCGGCAGGAGGTGATAAACATGCAACCTGTGGGTCTGTGAAGCGTTCTGAGATATTTTTTGGGAAATAGAATTCTAATCAGGGATGAAAATGTTTATGAGACTGATGGAAGAAATAAGAAGCTTTCAAGCTTGGATAAAACCTTGTAAGACAGTGTCAGTTCTGTGAAGCAGCCTGGAGGTGAGATCAGGTCCTGCAGCCATCTGGCAGGCTCCCTGCTCGGGAAGGGGCACGGTGAGATGGAGCTGAGGCCACGCACTGACTGCAGAATCAGGAAAACCAAATCGCTTCTACCAAGGGAGAAAGTGAAATCACACTTCTGCCTGCACGTAAGATTTATCTGCGCAATTAAATGATTGTGTCTATAGTTGGTACAAAAACATTCCATTATATAATCCCAGTGGGAGGAACACTTTGCAGTGTCTCTCTAACTACATTGTCCTATCAAAGGAAACTGCCTATCTAAAGCCTATCTATGGTAAAAAGTAGTTTTTGCTCTCAGATTAGACAGGGATATCTCCCTCTCAATTTCTATTTCTCAGCCTATTTTTTTTCCTCTCCCATGTCTTTCAGAGACCCTGCAAACAACAGTGAATTCCAGTAGAAATGGAATATAAACAATGTTCATATATGGTATAAGCATATGAGAACCCCACTGGAATGGTATTCATTTAATTTTAGTTGAGTGATATTATTATTGTAACTACAAGTGAAAGGCCATGTAGCAGGAGAAAGGTATTTCAGACATAGTGCTTCTTGCGTGAATTGTTACATATATCTACAGTTATCCTAAGGACCTGCCCACATATTCACATTCTTTTCCTTCTCTGAGGACAGATATGGAGGGCTGTTCACAGGGAATAGTATGCAACTGAGTTTTACTTGCAAATATGCATTACATGAACTATGATCTAATATAGCACCGAACACATACTGTTCAGTAATAATTAGTAAAGGATGTTGTATGAGCAGAAAAGCTTCATATACTTGAGAAGTGTTCTTTGATTCCTTGTAATTTAAGTCACACCAGAGATTTCATTTCCTTAAATTATACCCTAGTGTGTGTGAAGAGTCACATTTTCTCTTCTAAATGCGTGGATATATATAAAATGTAACTCCTTCAGTAAGGTTGCAGTGATAATTTTCTTTTCCCCTTAAAAGATGGCACTAGATGTATTCTCAGAGAATCACTGAACTTGTTAATTGAGCCAACATACAAAACCTCACCATGCTATATGGATGTCAGCAAGCAGTTTGAGTATAGAAATTTGTCACTTAGGAATGTCTGGACCGTATATCAGATTTCCATTAGGTTAGAATGGGCTACGAAGAAAAAATAAATTAAAAGTTCAGAAATTCATAGTGGGAGTTCTGAGCTCACAGCATCAATTTGCAGTGCTGTGCCCTGAAGTGAGCGACACAAGTTCAAATAGCTGCTGCCACGGCTCTCCCAATAGACACCCTGCTGGAAATGCTTCCTCTACTTAATAAGTAAATGGGCTTTCCTGGGAGCAAAACAAAGAGCCTGACATGTTCTTTCACAGCAAGTATCAGTGGTGCAAGGGGATTTTTCAGTTTGGCTTTCTTGGAACAGCATAACAGCTTGGGATTGCACATCGTCAAGCATTTCTGCAAGGGGAAATGCAGGGGGTTTGTGCTGATAACCTGGGTCAGTTGATTCCATTGCACTGCTACCTAAGGAAGCATTTGGATTCTGCCAGTGCAGTCAGAACAAGCTATTGGCATCTAGGCAGTGCTGTCAGCTCATGTTTTAATTGTGGTGAGACAGGCATGGGTCTGTCTGTAGGAGCCAAACAAGCTGAGTGCATTTACTGGAACACACTTGGATGCACAGTGATGCTTTTTACTCTCTCTAAAATCAATATTCCTGTGAACTGGGCAAGGATTCTCCTGCAGTGGCACATTCTACCAGGCCTGCACTTTTCCTTGGAAGCTGTTAATGTAGCTGGTTTTGTCGAGGTAAGGAGAAAAATGAGAAAGCAGTGCAGGTTTGCTAGAAAGCCTGCAGCCTTGGAGTCGTTTAATTCCTTGATGTGTCCCACTCCCTCCCCCTCACCACAGAGATATCCCTGTGCAGCTGGGATGGCAGGTGCCCACCCTGGCCTGGGCTGAGCCCCTGGACGTGTGTATTGGCAGCTGTTGAGGGGCAAACACAAGGGCCTTAACAACTGCACATAGTTCAGCTCCCTGCTCTGAAGGTGTTACCTCCAAACTGGGTTTGGAGTTCACTTTCAGATAACTGATACTTGATCAAAATGTTAAGAGAGTGTAAACAGTCTGTGCATAAAATAAAATGCAACAGGAGTGAATTTTTTGATAAGATGAGCTCGTTGCAATTTCAGTGAAACTCAGAATATTTGTATTCCTGTTACAGTGCCCTTTAACAGCTTTTCTCCCCCATCCTCAGGGGCTCATACTGTTCCAGCAAGGAAATCCTGAAGGCTTTCAGAGCAGTAGCAGCAGAACTGGTGATACATTCTGAATAACATGGACTAGAAGCTGCTCTTTCTTCGTGAGTTCTGTATCTGGATTTTGTCAATATTCACTTTCTGCACCCATTTCATGATAACACCGTTGATTTATTCATTAAATCATAAGTGTCAAAAGAACTGAATTGTGCATCAGAACTTCCCCATTAGCTGGTGAGTTTTGCCATTTATCTTCCATTTTCTGTCTCCATAAAATAGAAACTACTTGTCCAAAACTGTCCCCCCTCCCTAAATTGCCACTGAATTTGCAGCTAGGACATTTTCATATGTCTTAAAATGTTTATAATTTTATCTTCTAGCCAATTTTAGGTAAAACTGTGGCTTTTTTCATCTTGAGTGAATGAATATTAATATCTGCTAGAAACCATTCCCATTGTTAAATTAAATGAGAGCAATACAGAAGTTATCTGAGTTTTTGTGAATAACTCCAAATAACGCAGAGCTTCCCATGAGTTCTGGAGGGGACTAACAAGTGTCTGCTCATGTAAGTGTAGAACATGCTCAGTTTTTTTGAGACTCCTTAACTCTGAATGCTGAGAAATTGGGATAATTCAGAGCAGCAAAAAACCAAGTCTCTGTTCTAATCAAGACTTACTTGGATTTTTCAGTTTTTCCCATTCCCCAGTTGAAATTTCCTGTGTCTTGTAACCATTTAGCAATATGTTACTAACCATCCATTATGTCCTGCTTTATTCTCTTTTAGATGAAAGAGCCATGTAAAAAAAAGAATTCACCAGCCCCTGTGACTGAATTTGAGCGATAATGTCAATGGAATTAACACATTGCCATTGTTGAATGGTCTCCTGTGGCTATATAAACATCAAGGTAACACATTTCCAAAGCAGAAGACATTACTGCTGTGATACTGTTGTTGTGAGAATATTTCCTTACTGCCAAAACACTGATGTAGATTTAGCATTTTGCTTACTGAAGAATGATGTTGAGGGGGGGAGGAGAAGGTTGATTTTGCTGCTTTTATTTTTGCTGAATTCTGGTTTATTTGCTGAAGAAAATCTATTATGTTGTTTGGCTAAACATGGAATGAGAGTGTAAATACATTGAGGTTTATTTAAGACAACCTCTGATTGGTAAATGCATTTAAATGACAGCACTTTTAAGGGCCTAATTCCATTTCTGAAGAAGACCTTTTGAAAAAACTGGGGCAGAACTACCTTCAGGAAACCCAGGATTCTTCAACAACCTCTGCAAACAGAAACAGACTGAGGCTTAAATACCTCTCCTACGTTGCTGAGTGAAATGTTGGTAAGATGAAACTTTCAGTTTTAACTTTGAGGGTGGCAAACAAGTTGTCAGGCCAGGCTAGTTGGAAAACTTTTTAATGGTGATGATCCCACTGCAGATTCGTTGTCACTGTCTCACCTAATGCAAGAGGGAAATAACTGATGGGGATGTGGCACAGAAGTGGTTTGGAATTATTTGGGTCACAGAACCATGGAGAGTGGCTGCACTGCAAAAGCCAGAGCTGGTCAGTAGGACATGCAGGTAACAGTAATGATTTCCTTTATTATGACTTTTCTGGTGCAAGTGGAAAAAGAACCTGTATTTTTGTGAGAATATTTTCATTTGTCTTCAGGCAAGAAAATATTCAGGCAATAGGTGCTAAACCTGACAAATGCTCTTCCTAAATAACCCTTGTTATGTGAGTTTTACTTCTCTGCAAGGTTAAAGCCATCTTTAAACAACGAGTTGTTGCTGCATTTCTACAGATCAGAGACCATAACCCAGGTATCAGAGGGTGGGAAGTCAATCTCAAGGTTGACCCTACTGGGCAGAGATAGACATATCCCCCTCCAGAATCCATGGGACAGACCCACTGCCTGGCCAGAGCTAAATCAGTTCTGGTAAAAAGGACTTCAGTTTGCAAAGCTAAATCTGGCACTTCTGTGAACGTTAGGGCTGAAACAGAAAAGAGGGAGGTGTTGTCCATCCCAGTTCGTTGCAAGAACAGCCCTGGGTTGGACTCCTCAAAGGAAAGGACTCCTCAGGACAAGGAATGTTCTGTTTCTGGGCTGCTCTTGGTTGTCAAGGGTTAGAAAAGAAAGTTGTGAAGGAAAGAGGGAGGAGCTGCCCTTGGCAGGAGTTTGTTAGGACACAGAAAATGACTTGGTGAACGATGAACGCTGTGCAGGGGATCAGTGAATGAAGTGGACCTGGCTGTGTGACCTGACGTCCTTTTCTCTCCCTTGAGGGCTGTTTGAAGCTCTCTGAAAGCAGAGAGGAGAATAGCTAGTAAACTTTGTGCTTCAGAATTGCACAGAGAATGCTTCTTTGATCCATGGATCAATCTTTTGTCAGCTCTAATACAATGGCTGATGGCTTTAGTGTATCTGCACTGTCACCCAAAGGCACTTGTTGGGAAATGTAACTCAGTGACTCAATAACTTGTCACCTTTCTCATCACTCTGACCTAAGCATAGGAGTGGGGAAGAGGAGCACTCTACCAAGCTCAGCAACATTTAGATTGCAGTCATACTTCCCTTGGGAGTCAATAGCTTTTGTGAATGTCTGGAAAAACAGGATTTTCTTTTTGTAAATCCTCAGCTGGGTAGAGAAGCTGATGGCAGGACCCCTGAGCCCAGCAAGAGGATACCAATGAGCAAGAGCATCCACAACCTGTTACTTTTCTTTTTTTTTTTCCTTCACTGTGTCTTACCTTTCCTTTTTTCCCTTCTTTCTACCTTCATTTTCCCATACATTTTTCCCCCACTTACCCACCTTTTTCGTTTTAGGAAGTTATGGAGCCCTTCTGCACTTCTTCCTTAGGGTTCTTCAGAACACCTGCCCTCAGATGGCTCACAGCACCAGTGCCAAAACAGGCACCAGCCTAATTGCAGCTGCAAATAACACTAGGGACAATACCACAAAGGAGAAAGTGGTGTATTATCTGAGTCAATTAATATGGTCCTGAATTTATCACCTTGGACTGTAGTAATGTAGTTGTGTGTATACCCTGAGACCTAAACATGCAGCAGAAAATCTCATGGAGGAAATTCAGCATTATTCCCATGGTTTCTTTCTTCTTAGTTCACATTAGGTCTCCATTGCCAAGATTCTGAACAAAAGGCAGGCCTGACCACTGCTTGGGATTGTTGTTGAGGTTCACACTTGAGTCTGAAAGATTCTTTCTTTTTGCATTTGCATTTTGCATTTCACTTGATTTAAGCTCCATTTCATTTCGCTTCTGGGATGATCCAGATTACTCAGATACTTCACCCAAATTCTCCAGTTCTTAGAAGTCATTGGAAGAAAGAAAGAGTCAAACAGTCTCCTTGAAGAGAACAGAGGTCTCCAGTAAAGCTCTGAAGCAGTGTGATGGAATAAGAGAAGCCTGGACATTTCCCTCTCCTGGAATCTGTGTCAAATGTGTGGTGCTGTAACCCACGGTGTGCCAGTGAGCCTGGGTTACATCCCCATGGGAAGCAGTCTGTTCATATGCCAGTGGAACACCCGTTCTTCCTTGTGGCCCCAGAATTCCTTTAGTACTCCTTCGAGGTATCACAGGAATAAGAGGTGAGAAGGTGTCTCGAAGCCTTCTTTGCTGCTCCTGCCAAGGCAGGACTGTTCTCTGCAATACCAGTGGTTTGTGCAAAAGGCAGTTAAAAGCCTGACACAGTAAGGACTTTGTCTGTTCCTCTGTGAACAGGCTGCCCTTGCGCAGCCGGAATGTTTTTTTCCTGGATACTCAAATTGCTTCTCTCTCATTTTCATCCCAACTAATGAAGATAATTATATCCCTTTGTAGCACATTAATTCCTCTGTCATCTGTGTGTTTACACCCTGCAGACATGTTCATTTCTTCTTTGTGTACAGGGCTGTCAATCAGCAAAGATTTACTTAACCAACTCCTCTAATCTTTTCTGGTGTTCAGCTCATCCAGTCTCCCTCCAGTTTCCCAGTAGCTTTGATAATGAGGTGATAAGAATTACTTGTGGTTTTACCAGTTTGTTTTACAGCAGGCTCTCAGAAAGAAGCCCTGCCACTTTCCTGCTCAACTGTATCCTATTTTCACATGTGCATCCTGTGGTTATGTTTGTGGTTATGTTTCCAACAGGGAAGTGAAAGCATCTCACTGCAAAAATCCCTATGAACTATCTCTGTATTGGAGCCTCCTTGATGTTACCATATTTTTTATAGGTGGATATGGCTGAACATCACTGTCTTCAAAAGCTTAAGTGATACTAAGGTTATCTAAAGGGAAAATCTGGAATCAGGGGTGAGGAACTCCAGAAGTCAGCAGTTCTTCCCTTGAACAACTTCTTCACAGTATGTTGCAAAGGGAGGAGAAGGAGTATTTCCATCTTGAAGAGGAAATACACAACAAAAAAAAGTCAGACATAATGGGGAACCATGAATGGACTTAGATTTCAAATATTTGCCTCAGGTTTATGATAATCTACACCAGCCCTCCCAGGCTTGGTAACTTGTCCACTCTGTCCTGTAGAGCACAGACTGTAGATCTGAGGCTCCCTGTGCACTATAAGCAGTTATTTGGAAATGAAGCTCCTTGGCAGTGAGTCCAAACCTCCATCTCAGGCAGGCTCAGGTCCCTAATCTGACCCCAGCAGGAGCTCCCTGCAGAAGCTTAAATGAGTAACTGCAGTATTAGAGGGTGGCAAAACCAGTGAACTCATTATTGATAACCATCTAATCTGTGCTCACAGAAATACTTGCTCTCAAACATGACTTTGATTTCCTCCTGCACACTCCCCAGCACTCTTCTTAGCAGAATTTAAGTATTTCTGATGAATCTACATTGTATTGTTTGTATCTGCATTTGGTTGGCAGGCGTAGGTTAGGCTGTGAAATAGCAGTCATTTAAAAACAGTTTTGCCTCACAAAAGCAAAGTTTGTGTTTTTAAGAGTGGTACCTATTATGTGTATTACTGTTTGCAGGGTTAGAGACGAGAAGAAATCTGTGTCATTTATGCCCAAGTAGATAAAATCCAGTATTTTCAGTATGATGCAGTCATTGCACACCTCTGTTCTCGTTCCAAGTGAAACTTGTCTGTATAACCATTCAGACAGGACAAAACCATGTGTCATCCCTTGGTTTCTCAAGGAATTACAGCCAATATATTTAAATAATGCAGGTGTCTGATGTTCTTAACAACTTAGAAGCATTTGTTCGCTATAGTAGGGCTAATTTTTAATTTATTTTTCTAAGCACATCTATCCAAAATGATGCTAGGCTTTTATATTCACAGCAGGGAGCATTGTGAGGTTTAAATATCCCTTTAATCACTAAGGATGTAATAAAAACAAGAAGAGTTCTTTGAGCTGCAGAGTGTTACCCAGGGAAAAATCTACTCTGGAGCTTACAAATGTGAGCTGAAGAGACAAACTGGGCAATAAAATCCACAACTACGGACCAAACCGGCTAAAAGTTGGTCTGTAGCTGCCCATCAGGAGCTGAGACTCGGAGGGGGGAAAAGGCCATTCAGCACCTCTAGAGCCATAAGAGCCAGGTCATAAACATTTCACAATCTGCTGGGGAGGGGGAGGGAGCCGTGGGGCTGAGAACTGCCTGGAGTCTGTACCCGGGCCCATGACTGCAACAAAGAGTGAGTATAGAAATTTGACTGTATGGGAAGAACAGAGGGAACAAATCTGGCCAAATCAGGGATTGCAGGGAGAAGTGGCAGCTGTCAGTACATGTACATGTACATGCCTCATCCCACTGTTGATGTGAGGAATCCATGAAATCTGACAGGTGCTTTTTTCTATTATCAGTGATGCTGAAGGATTCTTATCTGACTGTTGTTACTATGGACCCCAGTATCAGTTTGCTGTGAGGTGATGAACAAGTTGGGTGTGTCATAGAACTCACAACAGTTTTTATTTTTAAATTCCAAACACTTCAAATCTTAACAATTTTAGTCTGCTCTTTGAAGATAGTTCCTCTGATAGGAATTATACTGTTTATTGATCTCCTGATTTCATTAGAACCTTACTGTGATGAACAGTATATGGAAACTTCCTTATGTGATTGATACAAGAGATCTGTCTTGACCAAACAAAGTAACTTGGACCCTTTAATTGTGTGATTGAAGTCTGGGTTTTTGTAGGTTTCATGACTTTACAAATGCCTGATCACCAGCAAAAGAAATCTTTTGCAGAAACTGAAGTAACATGACAGTGTATCGACAATCTTGAAAGTCCATAAGGTTTAGATAAAAGCTTCTGGGTTTGAGCTGCTGCTTTTTTTTTCTGGAGACATCAGCTTTTTAATGGAGATTGGTGCAGCACTGTCTGTTGGGCTTCTGCTCAGCAGAATCTGTTCTGCTCAGGGTTTTTGTCTGGTCTCAATTCATGGTTAAGTAAACTGCCAGCAGTTTTTGAGCTCTGCATGATGCTTCTCTTTGCAGATGAGTGTGTGCATGTGTATAAATGTAGAAGTATTTATGGATGGATGTTAAGCCGGCCTTACTTGCTGTCTGTCTTCTCAGGCAGCTCCTTTATGGCTCCCGGTGGAGACCAGTGAGTTCAGGCAGGGCTGCTGCGTCCCCGGAGCGAGAGGAAGGAGCCTTCCCAGAGCAGGGGAGGGAAGGCAGTGCTTGCACTGTCCTTTCCCATGCTGTGGTGCAGAGCTCTCCTTGCTCTTGCAAGTCCTTTCAGTATGTATTTTTTGTGGATTTGAGTGGGAAGGAGCGCTGAGCCGTGTCTGGGAAACACAATGGGTCGACAGGAAAACAGTGCACCTAACATCAGGAGTCTGTGGGAACTTGAAAGGGCTCTAGACAGACTTATTTTGCATTTGACTCTGGACTGTAGCCTTTGAGGCCAAACTCAGCCTGCAGTGTTAAGTGGCTGCTAAGTATTTCCCTTCTTGTCTCCATGCTAACGAACTGCTGGGAGCAGGGGGAGTATTGCAGAGGGCTGGGGAGGGCGGATGTGAGAAAGGGGAGATAGGGGAGCATCCTCTTTCTCTTTAGTGGGGGAGCACAGCTTTGTGGCCAGGTACCTCAATCCACAAACCTGCAAGAGGAAAAGCCTTGTCTTAAACTTGAAATGTACAGCTTTTCATTTTTATGAGCTGCTTTCCCACATTCCCTTCCAGAACAGATCCTGTCTCAGCCTGTGACCCATCCCCACAGCTCACTGTGCCTCTGTCCGGGGACCCTGTGGTGAATTAGCATTGAGATGTTACCAACAGGCCCTCTCCAACCGTTTTGGTTTGCCAAATGTTATTTTTGCATTTTTGAGAGCACAGGGAAAATTTGGGGGTGATACAATTTGGGGCTCAGTATGGGGTTTTCAGCCCTACAGAGGTCTGACTTCTGTGGGGCCCCTTGCAGGGGTCCCAGGGTGGGAAGGTCTGAGTGGCACTGCACATGTAATATGCCTGAAGACATCAGACAGCTTTTCCCAGGAAAAATCAAACCCAGCCATAAAAAGGGAGAAAAAAGGTGCCATTTTGCTCCATCCAAAGAAAATGCTATGTTATGTGAGCTCTCCTAAGGAGCTGGGTAGGAACTGTTCCTTTGCTACCACATCATAGGAGATAATTTGTACCACTTCTTCAGAGGATCTCAAAACACTTTGCAGGGTTTTACCATTCCTGCAGCCGCCCACAGAGACTTGCTCACAAAGCTGCCCAAGTTTAGGCTGTGCCTGTGCTGCCAGAGCTCGGCCACTCTGTCCTGGCCAATCCTGCACTTGTATTTCCTATTTTGCTGCATTAAGTATTGGGCACTAACAAGGGCAGGGAGTCAGTGTAGGGCTGTCTATTTTATTTTGGGTCCTGTAATGACAATGGTGTCTCTTCACTTTTTCAGTGCTCATCCCGTGCAGATGGCAGAGTATCCTTCGTAAAGAGTTGCCAAGATGCTCTGCCACTGTGGTCTGCATGTGCCAGGTGGGAATCAGCTAAATGAGTCACACTGAGATGGCAGGAAGGCTTTCCTCATGTTTCAGAGGGGAGAATCTCTTAAATGCAGTTTGTACTGCTCTGTAGGGTTTTTTTTCTTGCTTGTGCAGATTCAACACAGCTTTGTTTAAGCCCAGTTTACTAAAGCTGATATGATAATACTTTCTCACAGCTGTGTGCACAGAGAGAAACCTGCAGGGGCTGAACACTGGCTGCTGCACCCAGGGGCTGATACACATGAGCAATAATCCAAGTTCTTTCAAAAGACCTTTCTGTTGCATTTCAGCCGTGCCCCAGGCAGTAACTTTATGCCTCACATTTGAGCTTGCTCTCTGGGCAGAATGATTCCCTGGAAGCTCTGCCTGGGCAGAGGTGGTGGTGCATTGGGCACATCCACTTGCAGACTCCCACCCTGTTAGCCAAAGCCCCCTGCTTGCTGTTCTCCAGCAGTCTGAGAGCCCCAGGCAACAGCCAGAGATGGTGAGATGATCGCTGTGTTGGGCAGCAGGGAAGGCTGTCCAAACCAGCTTTGTTTGTGTGCAAACCAGCTCCATACAAGGTCCTGTTGAGCACTAAGGGTTAAAGCTTCACTTAAGGTGGGAAAAATGCCAGAAAACATTTGCCTTACTACAAGACCCAGAGGGGAATGTTTCTTTCTAATCACCTCCTCAAAGAGATGCAAAGCAAAAGCTCTTGGCCTCTGGTTTTGTCATCACTGTACTCCCTCCCTCCTGCCCTACCTCGTCCCTTTGGCACAGGGCAGAGCCTACAGTTAGAGCTGGGCTCAGCAGGATTTGTACCTGCTGCTGTAAATGAGCTTGGAGCAGAGCTGTGGATGTCACCGACTTACACACGTCAGATCCACTCTCTCTCCTGTCCCTTTCCACACCCTCAGCCTCCAATTTGCCAGGGAATTGTTAGACACCAGCACATTCACCTCTGACTTCCCATCAAACTGCCTGAGGGCTCTCTGTGGACAGACAGACGAGGGTAATGTGCTAAATTCCCCCTTTGCTAAGGATGAATTTCCTGGGGATTGCCTCCTGTTAGCCACACTTTCCAGCAATAGTAACAAATTCACTTTTTTTTCACTTTTAAAACCTTTCCAGCAGCAACTAGAATGGCTGGGAGAAAGCTAGTTGTTAACTAGTCATGGGTAATTAATGACTCCACCTTCCCCATCAATCAGCTGGGAGAAGCCAAAAGGATTTGAGTACTTGTAGCAAATGTGCCTTCCCTAGACATGCTGATAGCAGCGTGCAAATGAAGTGGCAGCAGGAGACCATCTCATACCCTTTGTGGAAGAAGCAGAAAGTCATGATACACATCCCACGCTCTTGTCAGGTGAAGTCTGAAATTCCCAGTGCTGCTGCTGCTGTTGTGCAGTTTCTGACTGTGTGGGATGTTGATTCATCTCGCTGCTAGCTCGAATCTGACCCAATTTTTGTTCTATTTTTCCTTTTCAGATTCTGATTATGGTTGTCTTTTCCGCTTTCTACAATTAAAATACTAGCATTAGAAAAGCAGGACATGGAGAGGGAGCTGATTTGATACTGTCTTTCCTTCTGTGGCAGAGTAGAAAAGCATTTCTGCATCCTATTTGATTTGTGTCTGGTAGTGGCTGTGCAAGTACAAGCAGAGGTTTGAACTTGATACCATTTCCAACTGACCTTTTCCCTTCTGATTTATTTTTTCCACGTATGTAATAATCTCCATTTGAGGTACAAGTTGATGTTTCTCCACCACATGAAGACCTCTCCTCAGTGACAGCAGGACTCCACAACTGTGGATGTCTCCAAATTAGCTGAAGGAGAAGAGCCTGTGGTCTTCTGTATTATCCAGTGGTTTAAAAGGGATATCAGGAAGGCTGGATGTGCTCCTTCAGAGGTGCCAGGAGCCAATGGACCACTCCTGCTATAAAATCCTCCTCAGGACTTTTTAAACTCTCCAACCCTTTTCTTTTAAACATTCTTGCTTGCCACACTAAGCATTAGCTTTTCTCTCCCTGACTAGTACTGCGGTGCCTAACATTCAGTATACCACTGAAAGAGCCAGTCCCTCCTCTAATTAAGCTTCTTTGTCCTCTTTGCACGTCTTCACGTTGCCTGCTCCAAAAGGCAGTAAGAACAGAGCTCAAGGAATGTTGTTTGGATGTAGGAACTCACTAAACAAATTCAGAATACATTTTGCATGTCAGACTGAAGATCAGGTGTCCCAGTAACATCACTGACAAAACAGAAAAATGTTTATTTTTCTTGGAGTGAATCTAGACAGTGAATCAAATGCAGCCTTATACATAGCAAGATCTTTGAAATGAACAGAGCTCCCAGATTTGCCGTGCAGGACCCACCACTGGCCCATCGAGACTGAGATCCTGCTTTTGACCTCCACTTTCTGACCGTGTTTGTCCTGTCCAGTGGTTGTGTTGTGCCCTGAAGGCCTGAGCCTTGATTGCTGTCTCTTAGCACTTGTAAGCACTTATAAGCACAAAAGCTAATGGTCACACTTGCAGAATAAACTAATTAAGGGAAAATGCTCAAGCCCTTCTTTCTGCTCAGCCTTCCTTGGGTAAGAGCAGTACCTTGAGCAAGACCTAAACCCAGTGCCTGATCTACCCCCCAAAAAGTTCAGGGTGCAGTTCAGGGCTGGGAATGCAGATATTGGGCAGGTAAGTAACGTTGTATCATCAAATGTGTTTACGTTGTTGGAGAAGGATCTGTCCTTGAAGGGATGTGCTGTGGCAGCATTCCAGTTGTGAGAGCAAACTTCGGCACCGATTGTTAATCACCTACTTGGGAAGGGCCAAGCTCGATGCAGCCCTATTCTGATCCCAGAAATCAAGAGTAAAATGAGTCTGTGCTCTGATGATGAGAATTACCACAAATCCGTGGAATAGCCAAAAGGAAACTTTCCCTGCTTGCTGTTTAACGGGATTTGTTTTGATTTCGTAGCTAAGTCCTCGACTGATGTTTTCGGTCTTGTCTCTATTTGTTTAAAAGTGCGTTAGCAGTAAATCAAGGTGCATTTCCCCCGTCGGGTTTCCTGTATGTCAAAGCCATGTTAATTCTCTTTGATTTTCTTCCCTTAGCCCAAGCCATTGCTGCAGATCCTTCCTCTCTTTGTCCCTTTGGACATCAAAGGATCGCAAGGGGACAGCCCTGGCGGGAAGCTCCTCCCTGCTCATTAGCCTCCATAAAACAGGAACTCACCTTGGCTAGCTGTGCTCGGGGTCCCATCCTCATCCCGCTCACTCTTGACACTGGATCTCAGAAGGAAGGGCTTGTGCTTGCTTCAGGAAATCGGACCTGCTTTTGAACTGGACTATTTTGGTTCCCCTTGCAAGAACTCTGGTGGCTCTCTTGGCCGTGCAAGCTCCTAGACGTCACAGTACATGGAAAAATGCAAGCTTTACCAGGTAAGGGAAGGACTCTCTCCCTTTCCTTATGGAGTGGAAAGATCCTAGACTTATGCCAGAAAGGGAACAAGTGCTCCTGAAGGGCTACCAGCATTTATAGTAGTGTGCATGGGGTTGGAGAGGATTTATTAACTGGTTTTTTTCTTAAGAAGAGATAATAAATTGTGGGGTTTGAGTGTTTTTTTGTGAGCCTTCAAAGATCTTTTCTAAGGTAGCAAAGGTTTGCTCACAAGATGTCCAAAACTCCCTTATCCACATGTGCTTGTGCCATGTGATCGTTCACTGAGGGCTGGAGGTGTTATTTGTTTATTGTCTGCAAAGTACTGAGTTCTTCGGGTTGAAGGCCAGGGAACGTTTGGAAATATTTGTTCTACTTCTAATAATAGCTCTGATACCAACTATTTGGTTTTTCTTTTTTTTTTTTTCCCCTCTGCCCATTGAAATTATAAACCACAAGCAGGCATAGCCCACCTCTTCCAGGCTCATGCCCAACACACAAGATTTTTATGATTCCCTTAGGCTCTCATTGTGTTTTCCTTCTTCAGTCCATCCCATAACATGCTGTTTATCTCTCCTGTGTGGGGCATGATTGGATTGGTCACAATGGCTGATATGCATTGGGAAACTAAGGGCCAGCCCAGAGGCACTGCATTTGTCAGTGTAACTGAACCCCAAATTTACTCTGGGGTTTTACTGCACATCAGAAGGAAAGAGTTATTTACCTGTTTTAGGGTTGTGCAGTTCATAATACACATTAGAAGTGACTGGGCATTCTCAGCTTCCTTTTTCTTCCTCTGCAAGGTGTTGTGTCATTCATAAGCAAAATACCTGTGCAGTGACTCAGTTAATTTCCACCATCCTGCTGTTTGGGGTTTTGCAGTCCCTGGTGTGTTAATCTGATTCATACTGATTTCTGCCACTTCTGAAGAATTTTGGGTTGAAAAATGAAAGAGCAACAATGAAAAGATATAGACTGTATTATGGTATTTTATCATGTGAAGATTCCACCCACCGCAGAAGTCACCTCATTTTCTTACTGAGTTGCTTCTGGTGTATGACTCCCTAGGGCAGAAATATTCCAGGTGATGGCTGGGTGCATCTCAGAGATGAAACCATTGCATTTGTAGAAATGCCATACTTTTGTTATTGCCAAAAAACCCTCTGGTTCTGAGAAATGGGGTTCCCTCTGGAGGGTCGGAGTGTTTCTGCTGACATTTAGAAGATCAGAAAACTTGGGAATTTTTTTGATTGTTGGCAAGATTAATTTCTTAAAAAGCTTTGTACATTGGCGTGCATTCCTTCCTGTGGACACTGGATAGCTGTTAGTGTTGGACTTCTTCACTTGGAAGATAACAGCAACAAATGTAACAATAACTGGTTTTAGTGAAGGTAAGAAGCATATCTTTAGCCTTGTTGGACTTTTCCCAGTATTGCAAACTCTATCCCATGCATTTTGGAAAGGCTGCAACAGATTTTCTGACATCATAACATTGTCTCTGCAATTGACAATGAATTGAAGGATTCCTTTAGGTGAGGGAATTGTACTCCAGCATCTCCTATCCAAAAAGCTTCCTTCTCCCTTCAAGAATTACTGAATTGTCTCTCATTTCTCCTTTTTTCCATCCCCAAGATAGGAAAAAGGTATGTACAGTTTATTCTAGATACAGAAATTGTAGGACAAGCTGCTTCTATTGGTTTATGGACTTTCAAACCAAGGCCGGAATAGATTGAAGATACCTGAATTTTTGGTGCCTTTATCATCCCATCTTTCTTCCTTTTCAGCCTCATCTGGGCATAAAGAATATGTTTTAAAATGTGCTACATCCTGTGTTATCAAAACAATGATAATCATAATCCTTTTTAAAAAGCTTAGAATTAGAATTCTTGGAAAATGTTCAAATGTCTTTCAAATAATACTTAAAAACTAAGTTACATAGAAGAGGAAATCATAGAAGTACAGGTCTAACAAGTTCCATTCAGTGCTTGGACACCCTGCCCAAACCTCTCTGTGCTGTAATTCCAGCGCACAGGCAACTTTGAAGGGGGTTGTGTGCCTGAGTCTTGGCATTAGTTACACAGGCACAAACTAGGAGGGAATTGGAAGTGCCTTGCCAGCCAGCCTTTGACTCTGCAAACAAAATCCAAAGTGGATGCTACAAATAGATCCAGGGCTGCAGGATCCCACTGGAGCCGACAGCGCACGGCTGCGGAGTCGGCTCTGTGGATCCATTCCCAAACTTGCACTGCTGGGGTCCAGATCCTCATGCAGACTGTTAATGTTCTGTTTTTCAGCCTCAAACTGTGCACACAAAACCTGCATGGTGAAAGGCATTAGCCACATCTTAAACTCTTTGCTGCAGCGTTTATTGTCCCTGTCTCCTGCAGCATCGCTCTCCTGCAGGTGCGGTGTGGACTCATCTTGGTGAAAAACAGGTTATAACATCTGCCTTTGATTTTTAATTCACTGCTGAACTTCTTTCACTTCGGTTCCTCTCTACTTCATTGGAAGTCTCCCCTCAATAAGGACTCCTGAGATCTGTCTTGTTGTAGTCTCATTTAATGGCACTGGAATTTGCTTACAGAAATGTTAATTCTAAAATTCATCTGGGGAAGGAGCGAGCGTCTGTCTAGCTAATCAAAATCTGTTTGCATGTATTTGTGACTGGATGGCTCCTGTGGGAAATCAGCCCAATTTTATTGTAACTCCTTTTGATACATGTGCTGCACTGAGCTACCCAATGCATCGTCTCATGGCAGCTTTCATGTCTTTGCAAGAGGATATGGCAGAAGCTTTAGTAAGAAGATGTTAACAGGCTAATCTTAGTGAGCAAACTAGGTGTCACTTCTTGGCCAGTTCATTAATGTTGGATCAAAGCAGGAAAAAGGGTAGAGGATTTTCTTTTTTTTTTTTTTAAATGCCTGAAGACCTTTACAAACTGACAAAATTACATTTAAATGTTTTTTACTTCTTAGTACTGAAGGAAGAAGCCCTTAGACTCACATTGGGTTGTTTTGGTAGAAAGATGTCCCTTTATAAAAAAGCTAATTTATCTGGAAATAGCTGTCTACCTTTTGTGAATATTCTTTTGAAGACATTACTCAGAAAAGCTGTAACAAGGTGAAAATTCCCCTTTCTTCTGCTGTGCTCTGAGTAACATCTGAACAGGCTGAGAGGCAGAAAAATCTCCCTTTTAAACAAATAACTGTGCCTGGCTGCTAATGCATCACCCTGTGAGGTGTCCTGCTGGCTCTGGGCTGGGGACAGCACTGCTGCCGTGGGTGCCCTGCCGAGCAAACACATCCATCCCTCTGTCAGACCCCAGGGCAGTGTTAGTAAAGCCCTGCTGGGCATGAAATCAGCCCACCAGCACTACACCAGGTCACATTTAACCTAAAGTGAAACTGGGCTTCTCAGTATGGCAGCAGCAAACTTGCCTGCCTTACAGTATTGTTAAGAGCAGCTGTGGAGGTTTTTAAAGGTGTTTAATCTGAACAGCTCTATAGAGGTGGTTGGTACCATCAACACCAGGGATGGTTCCCCCCAGAATAGTTTCCCTTTCCTCTTCCTCAGGACCACTTTTGATCCTCTGCCTCCAACAGAAAGTGCAGGCACGTTGTAGGCAGCTCCTCTGATGTGCCAGGATGTTACTGAACATCTTCCACTCCCATCACAGGCTCCTCAGTGATTCCCATCTCCAAGTCCAGTTCAGACCAGCCATCCTCTTTTCAGAATATTCCACAGGCTATCTCTGTCACCTCCTTTTCTTGCCTTCACTTACATTTAGGAGTCCTGTCTCTCTCATCTTTGTCTCCTGGAGGGATTTTTCACTTCTGCTACCACCTACCTGTTGTTTTTCCCCGCTACCCACTGGTGCAATTACAATCTTTACAGTCCTTTCAGCTTTTGTTGTATTCTCTTGGTAAAAGTGTTTTGTGTAACCCATACCAGAATGGTGGATTGTGGCTACTGCCAGTAAGAGTTTTGTAACAATGGACTTTAGGTTGAGTTGGTACAACACACAGATCTTTACAAAAGAAGCTACTGGCTAAAACCAAATCTGTTGGAAAAGGCTCTGAGCCTATTCAGTAACAAAAATCCTTTGAAGGAAAATGACAGATTTTAAGAGGTTTGTTGTGGCACAGAGTTCCCAGTCCCGCAGCAGGAGGGGCTGTGCCAGGTTAGTTCCCTCCTGCCTGTCTGAAGTCACCATCTTCTCTCTCTCTAGACTTGAAAGCGCCATGTGAGGCCCTTCCTTCCCCCAGCCTGGAGCCCTGTGCACAGAGCTCCATTGTGGTCACCCTCGAGGACAAGGGTCTCTGGATGAAGTTTCATCAGATTGGAACTGAGATGATCATCACCAAATCTGGCAGGTGAGAGGTGCAGGACAGCTGCCCATTCTACACCTCTTTTGAGCTGTTGTAAAAATCTCCACATGCTCATTTTTTTGAATGGTGGTCCTTAAACTAGTTTTGTTGCCAATTATGCATCAAATCTCCCTGATCCTGGCAGGAGAATTGCACTTTCAGGATGTCGTAGAAGTCCAAGCTGTGAAGTGCAAAAGGTCACTTGTGGGGCTGATGTGCTGAGAAAACTTCTGTACCCTTATCTCACACTTAACACTGGTGTTCTTCCTGTCACCTTGAGGTTGCTCTGGAAAGTGCCCTGGGCTTCCTTTGCCTGGGTCACAGGCAGCAGCAGTTGAGCAGTAAATGCCTGAGCTTGAGTCTTTTGCAGACAAGAACATGGTGTAGACTCAAAACGATCTGTGCGGGCAGAGTACTCTAATGTATAAATGAGTCATGTATTGTGGAGCTTGCAGGGAAAGAATATGGAATTGTGAAATTGTAATGTATTATGTCAAAGCTGCTGTGAAGCTGAAATGATCCCTTTGGGTAGGGAGGTAGGTGTCAAAGCTTTTCTGCAGAGTCAGAAGTTAAAAGTAGTGGCAGGGAGTACGGGAACAGAAAGCCGGATGTGCTCTTAGATGAGAGCACGTTTCCTACCCACGCTCAGAAATGCTCTAATCCATCCTCCAAGTCTGTGAGAGCTGCAGCAGGCGAGGAACTACGTACAGACTCCAAATAGTTCCTTTTAAGTTTCCCACTGTTGTGTTACAGGAATTGGAAGAACAGAGGCAGTAAGTGTCAGGCTGTCAGTGAGTGCTGCCCTGTTAGTGCCTGTCCCACCTAAACCCACAGGACCAGGCAGTCCATCACTAAGATGGACAAATGGTCAATAGCTGGATGGAGAAATACTGCTGCAAGGACTTTGCCAGTAGTTGGTAAACATGGCATGCTGCTTGATCATTAATATTCACTTTATAGAGAAATCTTTTTGTACTCTTATTTTTCATTTCTCCTTCAGACGAATGTTTCCACAATGCAAAATCAAAGTCTCTGGCTTAATCCCGTATGCCAAGTACCTCATGCTGGTAGATTTTGTGCCAATGGACAACTTCAGGTACAAGGTAAGTACTTTAAATAACAGAATTTATGCCGTCCTTTCATCTTTGTTTGAAATAGATTAATCTTTATGCTTCACTGGCCATGGTGATAAATAAATTCTCTTTGGACAAAGTTCAGAAGTAATTGGTGGATTTTATGCCTCTCTGGAGTTATTTGTCAGTTTTGCTTGGGGAGCAGCTGGAGGGGTTACAAATTTCATTGTAAGCAGTACAGTTTTAATCATGATTAACACCAGAGTTCTCTGACAGCCATTGGGAGAAAGGGAGGAAAAATGAGGCCTAAACTTGGAGCTGATTTGGTAACAATCATGGCTCATAAGAGAGAATCTGCTGCTTGTGCTCTGAAGGCAGGCACCGAATTGACAGTGAAGCAAAGTTGCTGGACTTTCCTGTACTGAAAGCAGGGGTTTTTTTAAGATCCTGATTTCTGTCTTTCCCTTCACAGTGGAATAAAGATCAGTGGGAAGTTGCTGGGAAAGCAGAGCCCCAGCTCCCTTGTCGCACGTACGTTCACCCAGATTCCCCAGCTCCTGGCAGCCACTGGATGAAAGAACCTGTCTCCTTCCAAAAACTGAAGCTCACCAACAACACTCTGGATCAACATGGACATGTAGGTCACGCTGTGCTCTTTTGGAATTCATCACAGATGAGCGTTGTGGGAAATAAGCGAGATTTTTGAGAAATTAGATCACGTGAAAATGAAAACATATCCAAGTGCCCTTTCTTCCTCCCTCAGCCCAGCCCTTGTGCCCTCCTAGGGAGGGCTTTAGTCTGTGTGTTGGCAGTGTTTGCCCATAGAAACCTTGTCCTTTGTCTGTCCCTGTGCCAGATCATCCTGCACTCCATGCACCGTTACAAGCCGCGCTTCCACATTGTGCAGGCAGACGACCTCTTCAGTGTCCGCTGGAGCATCTTCCAGGTCTTCAGCTTCCCTGAGACTGTCTTCACTTCTGTCACTGCCTACCAGAACGAGCAGGTACAGTGTGCAAGCACTGCTTTTGAACATGGTGCTAAATAATGTCTTCAAAACTCTTGTAGAGGAAGTGTCTCCTTCCAGTCTGCTCACCCGTGCTGGACAGTGGGAAGAAACAGGCACATTATGGGTCCTGTGGAAAGCATCCTCTCTGTGATGAGTCATGCACCTTAATGGCATTGAGTGCACTGTCAGTGACACACAGAACTCCAAAAGCAGTAAAAAGTATGGGCAAAAGTCCAGATATAGATACTGACCCTGTATGTTTCTCTAGTCAGATGAATCCCACCCAAATCCCTGCTGACCCTGGCAAAGTCACTTCTCTGTGTGTGTCAGTTCCTGATCAATAATGGGACCTGCTGGGAGAGCTCAGATACTGTGGCAAGGGCATGTCCAAAACCCCTAGAAAAGCTGTCAGGATAATTACTGAGGTGCAGGTCTTGAAACAGTGAAAAACCCAACCAGTCACCATGATACTGAATTTTGTTGCTTTTATTTTAAGATTACAAAGCTCAAGATTGACAACAATCCATTTGCTAAAGGTTTCCGTGAACATGGGAAGAACACTCGAAGGTAAACTGCCTTTTCATCTTAATTTATTTATAACTGAAGTTCACTTGTGAATCTTACCCAAGGCCTTTGAGCAAAACTCTACCAGCCAGCCCTGCTGCATTGTGCACACTGCATTTGCCTGTATCTGGGAATGATGCCCCCCTGTGCAGCCTCCTCCCAAGAGACTTGGGGAGTGGGAGGTGATAATTCCTACAGAAATGTAGGAGGTGTGAGAAATTTGAGACCTACATTCCCTTCCAAGCTGGAGCTAGACTGGAGTCTGACATGTGAATAGGAGTGATAACAGGAGTCCACAGCAGATCCTTTGGACTCTTGGAGATCAGGTTGATTCTGATATTTGGAGGCTCCCTTGTCTCCTTTTCCTGTGGGTGGAAAAGCATCTCTTCCAACAGGAGGTTTTATCTGCAAGATGGATACCAATACCAGTGAGATGATCTGCCTGGTCTTAGGGCAGCCAGTGGATGAGATGAAAAAAAGCTTAAGTTGCAACCATAGACTGGAAATAGAGAAGGAAAAAATGGTTGTTTCCAAGCAGAAAATGCTACAAAAACATCTGAGAATTTGTTTTGTGTTATTTTATGCCAGAAAAAAATTTCATTTCCTGATGAAAAAGGGCCAAAACTGACTCTATTTTACTTAAACTTTAGAAATGTCATGGATTTTCTTTCTCCTCCTAGTGGCATCATTTCTGACTAAGCTTAAACTCATTTTCCATTTAGAAAAGAGCTGCTTTCAAGCGACAGACCCACCCTGCTACACACATACCTGCGTGCATAGTGTGTATCCAACATCAGGCTACACTTACAAAGTCAGTGCCGAAATCTCTGGTGCTGAGTTTCCAAGCTGATCGTGCCTTTCGTACAGACATGAAGCAGGAGCCCCTTTCCTGATTTATCCCTGGTATCACAGGCAAGGGCTTTCCCTGGAAGCACACAGCAATGGCAGGCACATGGCTAACCCTGGAATTTGGCCCCTGAGGAGCTAGTAGGAGAGGTGTATGGCACAGGATGTTAGAGATTCATCCCATCTTTTTGTCTTCCAGAGCTTGTCCAGCATCCCTACCTGTTTCTCTAGGCAAAAAGCTTACATCCAAGCTTACCCCATGTCTTGTTTCTTTCCAGGGAAGGACGAGCCAAATGCCAGAAGCCCAGTCCAGCCAAGAGCCAGAAGAGGAAGCTGCCTGAGGAAAAGGAGCATGATGCCGAGGAACGTGGTAATATTGGTCACAACAAACCCAGAGAATGCTATTCAAAAAGTTCTTTAAGCTTGATCATTCCTTGCTCCAGCTCACGGTGCTGCTTGCAGTAGCACAGCTAAGAACAGAGGACAGGGTAGGACTGACCCACCAGTATCTGAGCTGGAAAGGGCTATTCCCTTAGGACAGAAGGTCTGCAGGAGAGGTGTTAGTGCATTTCCTTCCACCATCCCGTGATTAACACAACTGCCAATAGACCATTGTGAACTTTGTCTCTCTCTTCCCCCTTCTCATTCTTTTCCACTCTTTCTTTTCCCTGCTGTGAGTCAGATTTTGAGAAGGATGAGAATGTAGATGTGAAGGAAGAGAGTAACCCCGTGGTGGTCAGCAGTGGATATCCCTTCTGGGGCTCGGAGCAGAATGGCAGCCAGGCCTTCCCTGCGGCATCGCCGGTGCCTGCGGAGCAGAGGGAGGGTCTGGCCAGGGAGCAGCAAGTGCCAACACCGTCCTACCAGACATATCGGTGAGTCCTACCTTCTGGTCCAAAGCCACCCTTTAGCTGACGGGATTCCTCTTCTTCTGCTGGGTATTTCCTAAGAAAAACAGCCACCTGGGAGTAGGGAAGGATGCCTTTCTGTTGGACAGTATATGTGGCTGAGAGATGTTAGATTAGCACAGATGTAGCTCCATGGATAACGTTTCTGTGCTGCTTCAAACCCACTGATTCTGGGCATATTCATGTCTTAGTAATGCTCTTAATTTCCCTGTCCCAAAATGCTCTCCCAGCTAGCTTTGTGTACTGCAGAGCTTGCCTGTTCTTTGGAGGAAGATTGTTGGTGGAGTGGCAGGACTCCAGTGATTTTTCCCTTCTTACAGCAAAATTGGGTGTGAGTGAGCCCAGACCTGAGCCAGAACTAAAGTAGTCTGGACTTACCTTCTCTGGCATTTTGATTTTCTTTGGGAGTGAAAGTGAGGCCTGTACAAAAATCCACACTTAACAGTACGATAAGGAGCAGGCAAGGGAGGGAGGGCATGCTGAGAGCTTGCCCTGCCCTTCCCCAGGGGCTCTGTGTGGGTTTTCTGTGGTTTTCTGCTGCGGTAGGTTTGACTCGCTGTTCTCTCTGCCCCGCGGCTCAGGTTCCACGAAGCCGGGGACAGCCAGCACCTTCCCGCCCGCGATGCCACGGCCTTGAACGATTTCCGGGCAAGGTGCCACGCCTTGGATCTCGCCACGGTGCCCGAGCACGACTCCAAACAGCTCCCAGAGGGCTTCACCAACCTGCCCCCGCTCCCCCCGCCTCTGCCTCCTCCCCAGGACTACACGGGAGTGGTGAACATGGCTCTAGACTCTGTGGGGAAACCCGGGGCCCGAGCGCCCGTGTACGGTCCCTATGGCACCGAGCAGGGCCTGGGGCAGTGGGTGGTGCCTCCCCACAGCCAGTACAGGGCAATGAGCTACTCGGCCTTCTCCACGGAGTACAACACACAGGGCGCTCCGGGACATGCCCACGGGACCATGGCGGAGTGGAGCCAGTACCCTCTGTTCCCCTACGCCTGCTGGTGAACGGGGAGGACCCTTCCCAGTGAAAAAACTGAGGGAGAACTGTAAATGAGATCAGATTTGCTCTGGGGTGTTGGACTTCTGGAGCCTCGCCTGCACTAGGCAGAGGTATTGCTGCAAGTGGTAGAATGGGACACCTTCACTTCCTTGTCTCCTTGCGCAACAACCCTCACTCACCATGTTTCACAAACAGTGGCTAAACTGGTGGCTGCCCCAGCTGTGTCACTGTGGATCAGGCAGAATAAATGTCCTGCAGTGTCTTTTTTCCCAGCAGGAGTAGGAAACCACGGGAACTGCAAGGGCAGTAGTTAAAGAGCTGCTGAACTTGCAGTCACAGGCTGTTTGCACCTCGTATTTGGCAGTTTCCAAAATCCCTTCCTCCCGGGACTTGAGGCAAGGAGATAGGGGCTAAGGAGTTTCAGTAAGCCATCCAGGTGGCACAAAAGCTGTAGACAATATTGCAAAGACAAGTGAAACAAGCAATCCTGCTGACCTTTGAGCAGGTTCCTCAGTTAGTATAGTCAAACTAAAGCTAGTCTTGCCTTTCTTCCAGCAGCAGAAGAGAGTAAAATGCACAGCAAGGAGTGTCTGGAGCATAGCAGTGGGTCATGCAGGCAGGGAAGAGTTTGTTCCATGCAGGAGAAGCAGCAGGAAGGCTGTGTGTTGTGTCTGCATGTCCCCGTGCCCATCCCTCCTCTGTCAGCCCTAGATTCAAGGTCAGTGAAATGCTCTTCTTTCTGCAGAGGTGGAGGGAGGTTGTTCCTGGAATGCACAGAGCTGCTCTGGGAGTTTCCAAGGTTGTCAGAAGCAGGGCCATGAACAACAGTGCTGTAGTTTAACTCCAACATCTTTCTTAAGAGTGAAAGGAAATCTTCTGCTGTAAACTTCTTACTTCTCCCACACCCTGCCACCCCTGGAGAATATAATTTATAATTGTGGTTCCTGTGCTACACTCTGAGTGTGTGAAGTCATCCCACCACTGTTTGGGAGTTAAGAGGGATCAGCTTCCATGTTTAGTTAACAAAGTGGTTCCACCTCCCTCCTCTCTGGTCCCAGCCTGGGCAGGAGCCAGCATGTGCCATACAAGGAGGGTTTCCTTTCATCTTCCTGTTAGAAGGGGGAAGCCTCCCTATTTGCTAAGTGGCAAATGGCCCTGGCAATGGGGTCTTCAGTGAGACAGGCTCTTTACTTCTCAGGGAGGGTAGACATGTTTCTAGGTGTTGTTTAGGGAATGTTTTCTTGTCACACTAATCGCTGCTCTGTGGCCTGTAGCCATCAGTAGGCAGAGAGGTGTATCATTTAGCCTGTGTGCCAGATTGTTTTCTCTGTGTGTGTAGCAAGATGTTGTCTATGAACAGACCTGGGCAGGTTTGTGCCCAGTGCATCAGGATTGGTGTGCAGGTACACTGGGAAAGGCTGTGTGCTGATCTGTTGGGATACCAGGTCAGCACTGTGCATCTGCATAGCATAGGGATGTTTGTTATTGTTAAAATTGTTTTGAAAAGTAGCCCTATAAATTTGTGGACTCAGTTCAAATGACTACTTCCTTATTTAAATTGTATATTGCTAACTGTGTTTGTACCACAAACTGTGTTATGATACATGCAGAGCAGTCAAGTACTTCCCCTGGGCTTCCCAGGCTTTGAGGATGTGCAGCATTGAAATAAAGGTCAGACTTCACCACAGTACATGAACATAATGCCCTGTGAGCCTCCCCTCTGATGGCACCCTGACCAGTAGTGATTTGTACTTGCTGTGCATGACACACAAGTGGATGTGAGCGACTCACTAAACAGAAATCTGTTTGGAGAAGAAACTGTGGAGGAGGTTGTTTTTAACCCAGAATATTGTGATTTCCCGCTGTCCAAATGCCAGCTGCGTGAAGGCAGGTCAGCTGTAAAAGGCTGACTGACCTCTGTGGATGAAATAGTCTGTCTCTGACCATTAGTAGCTGATTTTGCCAGCAGTGTTTGTCACATCTTGGAAATGCAATGAGCAGAATGGCTGGGGAGTCGAGTGGGTGCCTTGAGCCCCATGTGCAGGGACCCTGGGGGTACTTTGTGCATGACAGTCCTCCTGGCACCCACCGGGATCAGTGCCAGTGCCATGCCAAGAAAAGAGAAAGAATACATCCCCCCATGGGCTACCTGGTTAGATCTGTTCCTTTATCTTTGTAGCTGGGATGTGTTTCCCTGTCACAGGGTGCTAATGAGGATGAAAAACACGCTGTGGTGAGTGTAAGTAACTGAGGAGAACTGGGCAGCACTGGGAAACTCCTGTGCAAATACAAGTGCACTGTTCTTCCTTTCAAACCTTCAGAGCAGCATTGCAGGTGCTGCTGCCCCATGGGCCTGTCGGTAGAGCTGGTGTTTGGCACAGCTCCACACTGGGGTAAAAGACTCAGCCTTGTGCCTAGGACGAGCCATTACTCATCAGCCTTCTGTTGCAACAGGACCACTTGCCCTTCTTCAGTGAATCATCCAGCCTATTGGAAAAGTACCTTTACTTTCTCGCTCTCCTCTCTCTGGTGAGAGACTGTGGCTCTGGCTGGTTTGTGAAGCCTTTGGAGATTTTGCCTGTAGGTGTGTGCTCTGGACTCTGCTCCCACCTCCTCCCTCTGCAGTTCCCACTGTCTTGTTCTCCTCAGCTGTGGCATTTAAAAGTCTGTGTGAGCTCGACTGAAATGCTGTTTTTGCACGCATGTGACATAATGTAATGCCTCTGACAGCTTCAATAAAGGGAAATGAGACATGTGGAAGGCAGGCCATTAAGAGTAATAAAATAAACTCAGAAGTGCGGGTTTGTGCATCTTTCTCAAGCACACCAGTGGCTCTGCTTTAGTCATGTTACCTGGGGCCAGTTTGTACATGCATGACACATGCTGTTGATCTCGGGTTCGTTGTTCTCTGCAGCGTGTTCAGTGAGCCTCAGGTTATCTGCTCGCACTGCTAGATGTGACTCAGGCTCTTGCACCAATTCTTTGCAGCAAATTGTTTATTTTCTCTGTATTTTCTGCTCCTCTCCCACAGAGGAATTACATAAGGATGAGGGCAAATGGACTATAAATGGGATCTAGGTAAATTTCCTATGGGAAATAAAGATCTTAATTTATTTTGGTTTCTCCTACTGGTTTTTGCAGCCTTAAGCCTTGCCTGACACTGCTTCGATGCAGATGGGAATGGCAGAAAAATGCTTTCTTGCCAACACTGCAGTTCTTCCACAGGCAGGTGCAGGCTTGGGAGAGGTACCTGTTTCCCTGCAGCTCAGCAAAGTGCCCCACACCTCTCTAGAGATATGGAGAGTCCTCCCAGGGTGCAGGGTCCCCTCTCAGCTGGCCCAGGATGTGGCCTCTGCTTGTACCCTCTCTGGCTCTGCAGAAGCAGCTACCAGTTGGTTTCATTAAGAGCTTATCTCGTTTCCAGGTGCTCTGGGGACAGAGATGTGCTCAACCCATGCAAACCAAACTGTCTGGTGCCCTCAGATGAGCCTCCTGGCCCGGCCAAGCCTGGGGCAGTGCTGCTCTCTGGCACCTTCCATGGTACCCGGTGTCCTCCCACGTGTGATGCGGGTCTGCCTGTCACCGCAGGGCTCAGTGGGGGCCCAGGGAGGCTCCTTGCCCACGAACAGGCATGAGGAGATCCCGCAGAGCAGCGTTTCCATGCCGAGATGGGCTGGGGCTCTTGAATTGCCTTGTGCTGGACAGCCAGGCTGAGCCGGACTCCTCACTTGCTTCGGTGTGGGGTGTCTGTCATTTGGTGCTCCGTGAGCCTCCCCACAGGGCTCCTGCGTGTGTTTCCTTGGTCAGGGCGTGTACTGGATCACTTTAAGCAAATCCAAGCAAGAGGCGCAAACCCCCTTCCAGGAATAACAACATTCTTCACGTCAAATGGGTTTTTATTGCAGAGCTTAAAAGCCACTTAATTCCCGAGCCCCAGGTCGGGATCCATGGGGAGCCTGGTAGCAGGGGGGATGCAGCATTTGGCTGGCAGCAGCAAACAGCAGCCGTCACCCGCCGTGCGGGGCCGGGCCGGCACAGCCACATCCCCCCTGCCCGCAGCTGCCCGCCCCTCCTGCGCTCATCAGCGGCCAAATGTGCCGTGCAGGTGTCTCCACTTACCTGCTCACCCGCCCGCAGCTACTCAGTGAACGGCCAAGAGCAAAGAGGGAGGGGTAAAACTGTGCAGGGCCAGCTGGGGAAGGAGGACAAAGGGTTTTCCCGGCAGCATGGGGAGGGCTGGTGTGCCCTGTCCCCCTCAGCTGCCCTGGACGCTGCTGGCTGGGCTCCAGCCGTGCTCAGAGGCGCGGCCTCGCTGCGTTTTTGCCGTGGCTGCAGGGGAGCCTGTCCCTGCCTGTCTCCAGGCTCGGCTGTCCCCTCCCTGGGCCATGGGAAGCAGCCGCTGACCTGGCTCCCGGCCGTCCCAGGTGAGCTGCTTTCACTGTCGTGCCTTGCAGAGCTGTAGTGAGGTTTAAATGTGGCTTCTGATCATTACAGCAAATCTGAGCAGGAGGAACCCCGGGAGAGGTAACGCAGCTCACAGGACGCAGGGAAGGAAGTCGGGAAGGTGTTTCTCCCCCGCGGCACTTCCCAGAGCAAACACTGAAGCGTTCTTGAGGCCTGGGCCTGAGCAGCAGCGTCAGACGAAATTTTAACCAGGGATGAAGCAATCCTTCAGTGCAGGGGTGAGAAGAGGTGCTGCAGCTGTGCTGAGCAGTGTTGCTGCCCAGCTTAGTTTAGTGTTATTCCTTTTTTGTTTTTCCAAGTCGTGTGAGTTTGTTTTATGGCCTGAAGTAGTTTGCTGTGAGGTGCTGGATTGCCTCTGACACTTCTCTAATGCTCCATTTTTTTTCTTTGAACGTGCAGGTGTACAACTACAGTGTTCCTGCCCAGACAGCACCCTGCTTGGTGAGTGTAATGGATGGATTTAATTTCCATCTCTTACTGTTCTTTGGGGACATGCTGAGATTTTTATTTCTTCCTCTTCTATTTTTACTGAAGAGGGTAAATTATGTGCCCCCATAAAGGAGAGTGGGAGTGGGCAGCCAGCAATACAGGACAGGCACTCCATCAGTCACACAGCCAGGCATAAAGCATTGCTCACTTTTGGTATCTCTGCCTCTCTTTGTACAAATAAGACTGTACATGTAAAACAGCAGCTGTTCACAGGAGAGACTTCCTGCGTGCTGGCTCTGGCACTCCAGCTCCCATCTGTGGGGTCACAAAGCACCAGCACCTGGGATCTCTGTAACATCCTTGCTGGGAGTTGGTGCATTAAGGGTAGATCTGCGTGGAAGTGCTGGTGCAGAGTAGACAGGGATGAGTCAGGCCTGATTCCTGTCACACAGCAGGGTCTGTCCTCATGCTGGCTCTGTTCGTGCTGAGCAGCCAGTCCCTCTGCTCGCCCACAATCTGGTTTGGGTGCTGCTTTTCCATCTAGGAAGGACTCAGTGGAGACAGAGCTCTCCGGAGCAGCTCGGGCACTGCCCAGCAGCAGTCGGCTGAAGGGGGAAATGGGAATTGCTGTGATAAGTTTAAGTCAGCCCTCGTGCATCCCTGGGGGTACCCCTCGTTATTGTTCTCCCGGGATAAAAGCAGTGAACCATCGAGCAGTGGAGGGGATGTGATCAAAACCGCTCTGTTTGCCAAAGGGATGTGCTGAGCATTGCACTGACATGGGCTGAATGACACTAATGCACTCCCTGTAGAGCCCCTGGGGGCACCAGGGCATTTTGAAAACCGTGGATGAGAAAGTGAGGCCAGAACCGCGCAGTTTTTTGCTCAGCAGGTTGGGCAGCAGTTCCTCGTGGAGCCATTGGAGTCATGCTGCATGTTTCTCATCCTGCCCGTATGGCTGTTAATGGCCCTGTCCTGCCTCCATCCTCAGGGACTAATTGCCTCACCCTTGAGCAAATGTGCTCGGTGTTTGAAAGGAGTCTATCGATTTGTGCGTATTCCTGAAAGGCTCGGAGGGCCCTGTTCCCTTTGAAGTGTAAAAGCATCTGTCTGTCTCTGCTTCTCCAGCAGTCTCCTGCTCCATTTGCATCTCCCCTCGGCTCACAGGGGCCGCCCAGGAGTCCGTCCCTGGCCCCATACCGGGCTCTGGTTGCCGCTGCTGAGAGGGTTCCCTGACATGGGGAGATGGGACTTGGAGACAAGGGTGCAAAGCTTCAGTCTAGGGAGGGGATTGAGCCCAGCTTGCAGCTGGGAGTGCTTAGGATGGAGCTGTTCCTGGAGGCCAGTTTCCAAGACTTCAGACTGGGAATGCTCTCCTTGTGCCTTTATCTGTGGTAGGTGTGTTGATTAGGAAGGGGAGGAAATAGCCCCTGGCTTCTTCCCACCATAGTACTTCCTATGCCAGACAGCATTGGTTGGTTAAGGAAGTAAGGTCAGACTTGGGCTGCTTTGGATAAACTATCATCCAGGAGGTGAACTGTGCAGGAGTGACCAGAACCAGGGATGGTTCTCTGATGCGCATTTGAAAAAATACAACTGAAATGCAGCCAAGTCCCCGCTCTGTGTGTGGACAATTTGGCCTGTGATTCTCCCCATCCCACCTCCTTGGACAATGGGACTGGCCTCGATGGGCTGCTTGTCCTCAACGGGGCATTTTCATGTAGGCACAACCTTAACAGAGGTGACTGTATTTCTGGAGCCAGGACTAACAGCTCTGTTGCTCCTTGGTTATCCCTGGGATGGTGGTGAGAGGACAGTACAGATAACTCCAGCCTGGAATTGCAGGGGCTGCCTGTAGCCACTGCCATCCAGCACCTCCCAGATGGTGCCTTGGGTTTCCTATTTCAAGGGGGCCTCAGCAGAGCAGCCGTGGCACCTCACTGCTGGAGGCAGTAAATGGGCTCCCATCTGGTTTTAATGATCAGTAGCACTTCAGTGCTTGTTTATTCCCATGTTTTATGCTTGAGCAATAAAATACTGCTTCAGTTTGTTCAATCCATCCTGGTGCTGGATGGAGATGAGTTCACAGGCTCTGACAAAGAGGTCCCAGCAGTACACAGGATGTTGGCTTTTTTTTCAGACAGCTGGGCAGAATCAAATGATGCCGTGGCTTTTAAAACACAAACACCAGTGGACAGTATAGAAGGCAGGGTACACCTGTGCCTAGCAAAGAAATCTTTTCCTTGGATTAAGGCTGGAACTGTCTGTCCTTCTGTCCTCCATGGGGCAGCACAGATGTGAAGGCCAAATGAAGTTAGTCCCAACTTTAAAGCAAGTACTTGAGGAAATTTTAGTCCCGAAGGGCTGCCCATGGAGATCACTGGGCTGCAGCTGTAGCCCTCCTGCCACAACACTGAAATGGTGCTGGAGGTGTCAGAAGTGCTGGCAGGGCCCCATCTCACCATGGGCACACAGCAGCTCTGTGGCAGGTCACCAGACAGCACCGCCGTGCTCGGGGCAGCTACGGCAGGACTGGGAGCTGTACAAAATTCTGTGGGGTCAATACAGTCTAATGTTAATTTAATCAAAGGGGGAAACTGTTTGTAAGGGGCTGTGGGGCTTTCTGATGTCGCTCCTTCTCCCCAGCACACTCGTGTTACCTGCCCAGCATGTCAGGAGTGGAGAGCTCTTGTGCTCCAAAGGGATCATCATCCAAAGGGACAGGCAGTAACACTTTGCAGTCTCTGGCAGTTGGTATCTGGGGATCTTGAATCGTTTTTGCAAACACAAGTTAAGCTTTTCAGCACGTCTAAACGTGACTCTGTCCTGCAGGGTAGGTGGGGACACCAAGGTAAAGAGATTAAAGACAGTAAACCACAGGGGGAGAAATGGGCTCTTTGTCTCCCTTCTGACTTTAATGGAGACCTAGAAACCTTTTGCTTTCCCTTCTAACACTTGTCTTCTACCCTAATGGTGGAGAAACAGTCTCCTCCACTTTATTTCCCAACAGGATGGTCCTTGGAGGATCTTTAGCTCTTACCTCTAAAGAGCATTGATTTTCAGCAGTGACCCTTTTTCCCAGCTGTTTGTCAAGGCTTGGAGCTGTAGGTGGCAACTAAAGAGAGAAGGATTTTAACAAACTAATTAACCCCCCTCCAAGTCATTCAGGGTCCGTTCCCTTGGTGCCACTGATGTTGCATTTGTGCTAATTTCCCCTGGA